CGGGGGTCCCCTCTCCTGCAACGGGACCCTGCAGGGCATCGTGTCCTGGGGGCTGCAGACCTGCGCCCTGCCCGGCCACCCCGGGGTCTACACCAGGGTCTGCCGGTTCCTGCCCTGGATCCTGGACACCATGGACGGATGAGGGACATCTCGGGGACATCGTGGAGACACCGTGGAGACACCTTGGGGACATGGGGACATCGTGGGGACACCATGGAGACACCTCAGGGACATGGGGACATCATGGGGACATCGTGGGGACACCATGGGGACGTGGGGATGGGGCACACCAGGGTCACACCAAGGTCTGCCGGTTCCTGCCCTGGATCCTGGACACCATGGACAGATGAGGAACCTGGGGACATCTCGGGGACATCATGGAGACACCTCAGGGACGTGGGGACATCATGGGGACATCATGGGGACACCATGGAGACACCTCGGGGACGTGGGGACATCGTGGGGACATCGTGGGGACACCATGGGGACGTGGGGAAATCATGGGGACGTGGGGATGGGTCACACCAAGGTCTGCCGGTTTCTGCCCTGGATCCTGGACACCATGGATGGATGAGGGACATCTCGGGGACATCTCGGGGACATCGTGGGGACACCATCAGGACACCTCAGGGACGTGGGGACATCATGGGGACATCATGGGGACACCATGGGGACATGGGGATGGGGGCACCAGGGTCACACCAGGGTCTGTCCAGGATCCTGGACACCATGGACGGCTGAGGGACACTTGGGGACATCGTGAGGACACCTCAAGGACATCATTGGGACACCTCAGGGACGTGGGGACATCACGGGGACATTGTGGGGACACCATGGGGACGTGGGGATGGGTCACACCAGGGTCACACCAGGTTCCTGCCCTGGATCCTGGACACCATGGATGGATGAGGAACCTGGGGACACCTCGGGGACACCTGGGGACACTTGGGGACGTGGGGACATTGTGGGGACACCATGGAGACACCTTGGAGACACCCTGGAGACATAGGGACACCTTGGGGACACCAGGGCCACCAAGAACCCACCAAGGCCACCAAGAACCCACCAGGGCCACCAAGAACCCACCAAGAAACCACCAAGAACCCACCAGGGCCACCAAGAACCCACCAAGGCCACCAAGAACCCACCAGGGCCACCAGGGTTCCACCAGGACCACCAAGAACCCACCAAGGCCACCAAGAACCCACCAGGGCCACCAAGAACCCACCAAGAAACCACCAAGAACCCACCAGGGCCACCAAGAACCCACCAAGGCCACCAAGAACCCACCATGGCCACCAGGGCCACCAAGAACCCACCAAGGTCCCACCAAGGTCCCACCAAGGCCACCCGCGGGCGGTGGGGGAGGGGACGCGGGTTCGGGCTCGGAACCGATAAATTTGGGGCGATTTGGGCGATTTTGGGAATTCCGTTTATTGGGGCGCGCGCCGAGGAGGTCCCGGAGTGTTCGGCCACGCCCACCCGGGGGAGGAGCCAATGGGAGGAGGGCGGGGCGGGGGGATGGGCCAATCAGGGCCCGCGAAGCCGAGCGGGGTCAAGGGAAGGTTGGCCAAGGTCAACGCAACCAAAATTAACCGAACGCAACCAAAATAAACCAAAATTAACCCAAATTAACCAAAATCAACCCAACCCAACCCAACCCAACCAAAGGTCAACCAAACCCAACCAAAGGTCAACCAAACCCAACCAAACCCAACCCAACCCAACCAAAGGTCAACCAAACCCAACCCAAGGTCAACCAAACCCAACCCAATGTCAACCTAAGTCAACCAAACCCAACCCAATGTCAACCAAATCCAAACCCAACCAAACCCAACTCAAGGTCAACCAAACCCAACCCAACCAAAATCAACCCAACCCAACCCAACCCAACCCAAGGTCAACCCAAGGTCCACCAAACTCAACTCAAGGTCAACCCAACCCAAGGTCAACCAAACCCAACCCAACCCAACCCAAAGTCAACCAAACCCAACCCAACCCAACCCAAGGTCAACCAAACCCAACCCAAACAAAATCAACCAAACCCAACCAAACCCAACCCAACCAAAGGTCAACCAAACCCAACCCAACGTCAACCTAAGTCAACCAAACCCAACCCAACCAAAGGTCAACCAAACTCAACCAAAGGTCAACCCAACCCAACCCAAGGTCAACCCAACCCAACCCAAGGTCAACCAAACCCAACCCAACGTCAACCTAAGTCAACCAAACCAAACCCAACCAATGGTCAACCAAACCCAACCCAACCCAACCCAAGGTCAATCAAACTCAACCCAAGGTCAACCAAACCAAACCCAAAGTCGAGACCAACCCATGGTCAAAACCGACCCAAAGTCGAGACCGACCCAAAGTCATGACCAACCCAAAGTCCAACCCAAGGTTGAGACCGACCCAAAGTCAAGACCAACCAACCCAATGACCAACCCAAAACCAAGACCAACCCATGGCCAAGCCCAATCCAAAGCCAAGACCAACCCAAAGTCCAACCCAAGGTTGAGACCGACCCAAATTCCAACCCAAGGTCAAGACCAACCCAAGGTCAAGACCAACC